ACTTACTGATGGTTCTTAATTATCATGCGTAAGGGATATAAAATAATAAACTATTACATTAACATAACACATTACTTAACATATTAAACCATTAAAATTTATTAACAATTAAGAAAACGTTATTAACTCGAGTGGAGCAGGGGGTAAAGCTAAACATACAAATTAATATTTTGATTGAATAAACTGACAAGACATAGTAGATAAAAACAGAGGCACTCTATTCGATTAGTTGATAGTAATTTAGAAACTCACTCGGTTATTCCAAAGTTGTTGTGGACGTAGAATTATTTCAAAATATTAATCTACTTATTGATTTTATGAAGAATTAAAATATAATCATGAACTCTAGAATCATGGTTAAAAATAATCAAAAGCATCATGTAAAAATAATATATCCTAAGTCAGTGGACAAAGATATTCAAACCATGCTTCGGCCTTTGAACATAATGCAAACTATGTGTTTTTACCCTAAATACCGCATCAAAAACAATGTTATATATCCAAACAGTCGTTTTTCGAATATAATATCTATTTGCGGGACTATATTATACATTTTTGTGTTTTTGGTACATTTACTTGAGACGTATTTTGATGATCTTGTCAGAAAATATATGAATTTTATTCATAATATCACATACTACGATATCTGCTTTTTCTCTCTCGGGTATATTTTGAACTGTGTTTTGTCTATTGTTCAAATTCATAAGAATATTGAATTTGTACTAACCATTCAAAGGATTCATAGATTTCTAAATAACCAAAAAAATCTCAAATCTTTCACCTTAGTTAACTGGTTTTTTATTGTATGGTTAGTGGCTTGTCACATTTTAACTCTTTATAGCTTATACTGGTCAATTTCTTCTATATTTGGATTGTTGTTGATTTGTTTTGATGTAAACATAATTTATGCTTCACGGTGTATAACATTTTTAAAAGATATGCTGGACTTATGGAATGAAGAAATTTTATGTCCTCAGTTAATGAAGGACATGGACATGAAAGACTACTGCAAAGTCATGTTTCAGACTTACACTGATATACTAAGTGGATATGATACTTTTGAATTGACCTTCAAGCACTTTGTAAGCAACTGCTCCTTTTAACCTATTACAGCGGTTCAGTAACTGATTATTATTTCTGAACTTTCATAATTGTGCGCATTATTGTTATTAATTGCTTATAACTCTAGAACTCGTATGTGTGTAATTTCAGTGGTTTATAAGTGTTGGGTAATACATTGAACTGTCAAAACTTTGTAAATTTAAATAAAGTTGTTAATTTGAAAATAAATTTTTCCAGATTCTCTTTTACGTAGTGGAATTTTTCGCCTATTCATTAATTTTTGTGCAAGTGACAATCGAAGGTTTTCAAGCTTTACATAAACTATTCAGAGTAAGTTTGAAAAACTCGGTTATTTAAAAGTTACCATTGTTTGGTATAAGAATTAAAAAGACTAAATATTTGCAGGAGGTTTTTTTAAGAGTTGTTGTTGGAATTGCCGCATGGCTCTTAAAAGCCTTACTTCTTAATGTAATATTTTGCCTGTATTGCGAAAAGTTCTACATGCGTTTGGAAAACAGCCAAGACTCGTGCGCACTTCTTTCAAAAGCAAGAAGCTCAGGTATCACTATTACTATATATCTACAAGACTTACTATTATATCTGAGGAAATTGGATGGATAGATTGTTTTTCCTGATCTTTCCAAAACGGCTGAACGGATTTGGATGATGTTTACAGATATGATTATAGTCTGGAATAGCTCATAGGTCTCATTCCCAGGATAAGTTATTTGATAAAATTGACAACCCTATCAACGTCACGGGCAAAAGTTAGTAAAACTTATTGGCTATATTTTATAATCTGCAGCACTTTATATATATATATGATAAAAGTCTAATATGTACTTATAGTAATCAAGAGTTTACTATACACTGTTTTATGTGACGCTGTGAACTAGAATTTCGGCATTTTGTAATGAAAAGTAATATAAATTTACAGATTTACTATTAAAATTGTCTAAGAACATACAACGCCTGCATCGGTCATCGTTCAAGAGGATGTCAGCTTCCGGCTTGTTCTACATTGATGCTGCACTACCTTTGTCTTTAATGGGTCTCATTACCAGCTACACTGTCGTTCTGATTCAGTTTGCATTATCTGAGCAACAAAATTGAATCTGTTTTGTTATGTTTCTATTAAAGCATAGAATCTGGCGACGGTATCGTTTTGTTGTGGGATTAGACAGCCGTGTGTGCTATGTTCGAAATCATTATAATTATTAAGTGTTGTAAATGTTGATACGTAGGTCACTATATATAAGTTTTGTGATGCTCGAAATTTAAAAATGGAACGCATCTGTGTTCTTTATTATTAAAAGGCAAATTTATTTGAAAATCTAACACAAAAGGCTATTTACAGCAAATTATTGTTACTTGATTTATTTTTTATATTACGACTTTAAATGTGGTTTATCAGAGCATTTAAAATCCGCTTAAGGCGAGTCTGCTCCTCGAGAAACCATTTTTAGATGGTTTAACGAATTCAAAATGGGGAAAACTAGCCTTGAAAATGATGAGAGAAGTGGACGCCGCCAACTGCAGTCACTGCTGAAGATGTGTGGACAACTGAAATACTTGTGCCAGATGACCCATGAATTACATACAGGACCATAGAGTAAATCTTAGGCATCAGTTCAGTTAGTGTCCACACTATATTACATGAACATCTTAGAATGAGGAAGCTTTATTGAAACGGAAAAAGAAGCCTGTGTGGAATGGTCCCGTGAGATGCGTTTTGAAAATAAGAGGCCAAGACGTGTTTCTGAAATCACTACTGTTGACAAAACATGGATACAGCAGATCCGGAACGCAAGAAGCGTTCCTCGGTATGGGTGTTTCCAGATGGCCAGTTGGCAACAAAATTGCAAAGACCGCGGAACAATAATAAAAATAAATGGTGGCCAGTTTTTTTTTCACCGAGTGGTCACCTTGCAAGGTGACCACTCGGTGAAAAGCTAAGGCTAAAGGCTAGAGAATTGTAAGTCTGTTAGTTCAGAATCGCTGGTGGCTGCCTACTAATCAGCATTTTTTGATCTGTCGGAGGAAGACTGGAATAAGTGTTTCCAAGACTGATTTAGGCGGATGGAAACTCGTATAGAGAGTAATGGAACGTATTTTGAAACAATATGATACAAAATATAATAAATATTTTTTACTTTTTGCGTGTCTCAAAATTTATATAGTGACCTATGTATACGATTAGTTGATACATGTTCCTGTTGTTTTTTTTTATAAATAGTTGTATTATACATGTGGACGCGAAGTTATAAAATTGTTGTTTTTATATGTAAGTGATGTTATCAGAAATTTTTCATTTTGTTGCAATAGACAATGTTTTGATTGTTTGAAATAATTTGATTCATCATCATCATCATCATCAACAGCCTATACTAGTCCACTGCCGGACATATGCCTTTCCTTAGAAAGGAGGTTTTGAAAGGAGAATTTGATTATTAAATTACAAAATTCCAAAGGTTTAAATATTGTGTAATGTTCTGAATAAAGCCTATTAGAATTATTATGATTTATTCAGTTAGTTTAATGTGTTAAATAAAACTTGATTTCAATTGAAATATAGTTGCAGCGCGATCTGTTGGCGGTTTGTGAAATAATATCGTTTGTTTCATATTAAATAAAGGTAATTTTAGTAAAATAAGTCATCTAAAGATATGTTGAATTCGTTACTATGTTTATCTTGAATATTGAGCTATATTTAAGAATTGCTTTGTAATGTTATAATCTATTTGTTGATAAAAGATACTATAGTTGCTATAACCGTTGTAAAAATAAATACAATACAGTAAAAATTATAAATATATAATACGTCATAAAGAAACGACACATTAGACTAGCGATCGCATAAAATAAACAGGTAATTGTAAGTGTGTGTTTTATTGACATGGACTCCGAAAGTGGTAACTCTGACCTAACGCCGACGTACGCTACTACAAAATACAACAGGAACATGTATTACAGAAAGCTATACAAATAAATAAAATTGAAGTGTCTGTTAGTAGAAAGACTGAAAACATTTTGCCAAAAAAAAAACCTCCCCTAATCAGCTTCCGGGATTCGGTAGTTTGTGGGAGTATCAGAGTAAAGGTCACGGGTCACTTCCAGCTCTTCACTCGAGTCAAGTCACTGGTATCTCGACAACGGTGCGAGCTACAGCAAAAATAATAAAAAGAAGGCCTAATTCCTAAAATATAACTTCTATATAACTCTCCTGACCGTCAACCAGCCACCCATCACACAGCCAGGAAGGATAGCGTCGTAACATTCTCCAGAGTACTCGCGCTTTATCAAGGGCGGAAGCGAAGCCGACACCGTGGTCACTACACATGCAGGGAACCGTCCGTAAAACAGTCGATGGCCCGAGGGGTCGCTGGGGAGGTATTTGTGGGGGACGTCCCAGGTATTTATGTGTAGGGCTCATAAAAAAATCTGAGGTTCAAAGGAAAATAATACCTTTGAAAATCATATCTAAATGAATATTTCGTTTCTAGCGTTCTGTGACGAACTGCAGCTGAGGTCCAAACGAAAGTGATAGTTCAAAAAATCATAACTTGATGAATATTTTATTTCTAGAGTTTTGTGATGAATTGGGGCTAAGGGCTTAGCTCCAATTCATCAAACAAAGCTAAAAATAAAATACCGTGCCGGGTACTAGTCATACAAGTGATAAGTCAATCGTAAGTCTTTTTCTACAGTTTTTTTTTTAATTTATTTTTAAATGTGATTATTTATGAAGTATTACTTTTTATAGGATGACTATACAGTTGATGGCAGAAGGATTTGATTAATTTGATTTTCAATACTTTTGGAATCAATTAATAAATATAAGCCAACACAGCGAGAAATTCGGCTGCAAATTAAACTATCTCAAAATATTCAAAGAGAAACAGGTGGACCTCATATATAAATTTGACATTAAGTGTACGATGTGTGGATCTAGCTTTGTTCTAAAAACTTCGGACAGCAACACAACTGAAGCAAAACTTGACCTTAATGCTAGGGTGGTATCAGGTTCAATCATTACGGGAATTGGTCTATCAAACCTTAATGAGATCACTGCTTCGATGGATTTGCCAACAATGCCATTTCGTTTATACAGTAAAAAACACGACGCTATTTCTGTCATGTGGAAGGCTGCTGCTGAAGAAACTATGGTAAATGCTGCTAAACAGGAAATTGAGGCGGCAAAATCACGAGGCGATATTAATAATGCGGGTATAGCCATGATACCGGTAGAAGCGGATGACTGTTGGGGAAACGCTCGTATAAAAATAATTATTCAGCCCTCTCTGGCGTTGCAGCCATAATCGGAGAGAATAGTGGTAAAGTGCTACACACTGGGGTTCGCAACAAATATTGTGTTATGTGCGCCCGAGCAAACAAAAAAGGCCAGCCAGCAAGACTCCACAAATGCACTAAAAACCATTCGGGATCTTAAACCAGCATGGAACAAGCGATATTAGTTGAAGGTTTTAAAAATTCCATTAAAGACAGAAATTTAATTTATAACATCCTGATTGCGGATGGCGATTCTAGTACCTATAAGAGTATATTGGAGAGTCGACCATATCCGGATATTCCAATTTAAAAAAATTGAATGTACAAACCAATTGTTGCGGAATTATAATGGAAAGAATATGCTTCTTCAAAAAGATACAACTATTCCTTTGAAGGAGCGTAAACTTTTAAATATGGACCGTATGAAAAGGCTACGTACTGCTGTTCATGCTGCTATTAAACAGAGACAACAAGACAACAGTTCAAGTTCCCGTAAAATTGACAACCTCCAAAAGGACATTTTAAATAGCCCACATCACATCTTTAGGGACCATTCAAATTGTGATAGTTATTACTGTTACTACCTACGCTGTTTTTGAAGATTAAAAAGAACGTATCTCAACTCGCCTATAATTCCCGAAGCCTTTTATATGCCTACAACAATAATCGTGCAGAACAATTCAATAGTATTGTGGCTAAGATGGCAGGTGGGAAACGCGTCAATTTTTCGCTAAAAGACTCCTACACTACGAGGTGTTATGCCGCAGTGGTGGTATCTTTTAATACTGGCAAGCCACAATACACTTTTTATAAGTCAATTTGTCACACTAGTCCAGGAAAATCTTTAAAATTGTTGAAAACCAAGAGACAAATACTCGAGAAGTAATAGCACGTGCAGGTAGTACTCGCAAAAAAATAATTTTAATCCTGTAGATGCTAATTATGGAGAAGAATGTGAAAGACCGGATATGCAAGTTGCAGATTATGAGCGAGGAAAAGAACTGTTTTTGAACAATTTAAAAAAACAAGCGTTAAACTGCCATGAAATTGAGAGAGCTACTGTATTACAGGCTGAAAGCTCTTTGTGGCTCGAACTTAGAAGGTGTATACTTACTGCGTCCTTCTTTGGTAAAATTTGCAAAAGGCGAGCAATCCAAAATTCTGCTCACCTTGTAAAATCCGTTCTATATTCATATAACCTAGACCACATTACCTCAATAAACCATGGTAGAGACGGTGAACAAAAGGCTTTGCCACAACTCAGTGTCCAAGAAAATACTATAAAATAGATAAATGTGGTCTATTTATAGACGAAGAATATTTTTATTTAGGCGCAACACCAGATGGATTGTGCACTGAAGGATTAGTGGAAGTGAAATGTCCAAGCTCACTTTTTGGAATAGATCCTGATACCGCTTTGCAAGCTAAAAATCTGAAATGTTTCAAAGTGAACAGCCAATCTGAAATCGAGATGAACAAAAATCACGACTGGTACTACCAGGTTCAGGGCCAGTTGCACATAGCGAAAAAAGACATATTTGTATTTGCTGTATGGACTGGGCCTGATTTTCGATTGAAAGTAGTAAGAGTAAAGAAAGATGACGTTTTTTGGCAGGAGAAAATGCTACCCAAATTGACTCGGTTTTACCAAGAGTGCGTATTACCGGAAATCATAGACCCAAGAAAGGCAAGATCAATGCCTTTAAGCCAAATATTCCTATAGCGTAAGCATTTAGTTGTTAACCGACAATAATATGTGATTGTTTTTATGTTAATTGTTATTATATTATTTTACGGACCATAACTTTTTGTTTTTCTATTTAGCTATAAAGCCTAGCTTAAAAAATTCATTAGACTAAATAAAATGTATAACTTTTTTTTATTTTTTTTTATTTATTTAACATATTACAAAGCAATTTACAACTACTGATTATAATAGTGCATTTGAAAACCACTGAGGTTTGTAAAAAATGCAACAGATGCTACATCAAGCGAGGTTGATACAAATTAACACCATACAGTAAAATACATGCGTCATTATGTAGGTACTTTTAAAATAATTATAAAATTTAAGCGTACGGGCGCAGAACGGTGAAATGAACTCCGAGTCAGGCAAGGAGAGGAAGAGGGATTACTTACAAAGACGAATAGGCCATGTTTTCCAAAAAGAATTCCTTCAAATTATGTTTGATATTTTTTTCGTTTAGGCATTTAATTATATCGGAGGGTAGTTCATTCAGTTCAGTTAGTTGTTCTCTCACCAAACACGTTAACAGCGCGTGTCGTTATCAACCTGTTTAGTGAGACTGCTCGTGTACATACAGGATGTTCTACTTTATCACCCAAATTGTATTTAAAATACTTTTCTTTCAACAAACTATATTTTATTTTTATGTGAATGGGTAGAACTTTACAATGTTTAAAAAGACCCAGCTCATTGTTATTGTATTGTAAATTAATGTGTGGAGATGTTATTGTCTTTAATATTTTTAGTTGCAATCTGTATATAATATTTATGTAGGTCTTGTAAGTTCGCCCATAGCTGGTGAGTCCATACTGAATATGAGACTCGGCTAGGGAGTTATAGAGTAACAATTTAACACGATAAGGAATACGACGATTTAAGATCTTAATGTTTGCCAGAAAACATCTTAGCTTATCACATACCTTATCGATATGGGGTTTCCAGTTTAGTTTGTCGTCAATGATGAGGCCCAGATATGCATGGGATGTTACAAGTTCAATGATTGGACAACAACAACCACCACTATTAGAGCCATGTAAGCATGCGTGTTCATGAGCTATTAGATGTTTGTTGACCGGTGAGGGCTTTAAGTATGGTGACCTTTTTTTTTGACTTTTTTAACTTTTTATTAATCTCATATAAAATCACATTTCGGCTCAAGATTGCTTCGTCCGTCTCGGCTTTGCGTTACACTCTTTATGTTACGTTTGAGTGCGTAGCTACGCACACATAAACAATGATGCAGTATTTTATCTAAACTCGAGCGTAATCATTTTGTGAAATCGCTCTTAACACAAGCGAAATCGGGGGTAAATGCTAGTAAATATATAAATTAACACTTTGATTGGAATAATTGATAAGATATAATAGATAAAAACAGGAGCACTCTAATTAATTTATTTGATACTTATTAAAAATTTGGCTTACATACTAGGTTCTTTGAAGTTCTGGTGGAAGTATAAGTCAACCAAACCTTATTCTATTTATTGATCGTATAGATAATTAAAATGTTATCATGTACTCTATACACATTGGTAAAAATAATAAAAGGCGTCCTGTAAGAATAATGTACCCTAAGTCAGTGGACAAGGATATTCAATCCATGTTATGGCCTTTGAACATAATGCAAACGATGTGTTTTTACCCTAAATACCGCATCAAAAACAATGTTATATATCCAAACAGTCGTTTGTCAAATATAATATCTATTTGCGGGACCATATTATTGATTTCTTTGTTTTTCTACCGTTTATTTATTATGTATTTCGATGATGTTGTCAGAAAACACTTGAACCATATTTATATTATCTCGTACTATGATTTTTGCTTTTTCTCCAGTGGGTATATTTTGAATTGTCTCTTAACTATTATCCAAATCCATAAAAATATTGAATTTGTTTTGACTATTCAAAGAATTCATAGATTTCTTAATAACAAAAATAATCTTAAGTTCTTCACCTTTGTTAACTGGCTTTTTATTTTATGGTTATTAGTTTGCTTTATTTTGTTCCATTATTCGTTCTATTCCACAACATCTTCTTTAATTGGCCTTACTTTGATTTGTTTCGATCTTAACATAATTTATGCTACACGTTGCATAACATTTTTAAAAGATATGCTAGATTTATGGAATGAAGAAATTTCAAGACCTCAATTAATGAGGGACATGGACATGAAAGACTACTGCAAAGCAATGTATCAGACGTACACTGATATACTAAATAGCTATGGCATTTTTAAATTGACATTCAAGCATTTTGTAAGTAACTGTAACTTTAGTTGTTTAGTAACTAACATTATTTAATTTATGTTTTTTTATTATCTGGTAATACATAGGTGCTAATTCTGTTGTTCGAAAACTCTAAACTAAACTAAAAATCACAAAAAAGACTAAACTATTTTTTTTTAGCACCATTGTTTTCCATTTATATGATATGCCTTCTAAAAATCTTCACCTCATAGATCGGAGTACCAGTGATGTGAAATGCCTCTTCACTTCGACTTATAGGGTACTAATACTCGGTTTAAGCTAAGAGCAAATACTCCAAGAAATCAAGTATATTTTAGCTCAGATTAAGCCATTCCATACACACACTTGTACGGTAAAGGGTACCTTACATTATATATTGGCAAAGCTATTGTCAAGTTAGACACAATTTTTTCCAGATTCTCTTCTACGTATTGGAATTCTTTTCCTATGCTTTAGTTTTCGTGAAAGCGGCATTTGAAAATTATAAATATTCACATATAGTTGGAACAGTAAGTACTTAAACACACAGGAACCGTCCGTAAAACAGTCGGCCCGAGGGGATCGCTGGGGAGGTATTTGTGGGGGACGTCCCAGGTATTTATGAGTAGGGCTCATAAAAAAAGCTGAGGTTCAAAATGAAATGATACCATTGAAAATCATATGTATCTTAATGAATATTTCGTTTCTAGCGTTCTTTGACGAACTGCAGCTGAGGTCCAAAAGAAAGTGATAGTTCAAAAAATCATAACTTGATGAATATTTTATTTCTAGAGTTTTTTGATGAATTGGGGCTAAGGGCTTAGCTCCAATTCATCAAACAAAGCAATAAATAAAATATTCATCTAGTTATGATCATTAGTTGATGAAGTTTACATAGATACATAATCAAAAATAATGTAAATATCAATTAATTTAATGTAATCCATGTCATGGTTTTTGTTTTTATTAAACAAGTTAATTTAGTTATGAGTCATGTAACAGATTATAACATATTTGTCTTCGAGATATTCTTTCACAGTGGTAGTACATAGCCT